GAAACATGATCAATGCGGAGTTTGTTATATGATATAATTCTAAATTTTGTTTGAAGTAAAATGGTTGTATAGTGAATTTCACATCTGAAAATGTTTCTAACTTTACTGTACTATTCATGTAACTGAAGCACTTTTTACCCAAAAATCACATCTGAAAGTTGTGTGTAAAATACTATTCTTTCAGAGCACAATTCCATATAGCAGACTGATGTGATTACAGTTGAATGCAATGTGACAAAGTGGTATGGATATTCATGCCTGTGGACCACAAATAATTAAATAATAAAAAATGATGTTTGATAACATTTTGATTGATGCACAATTTTCTTGAAAGGCATGATTAAAGTTCCTCATACTGTGTTGTCATAACACATTTTCTGTGAAAGTTATCAGGAGTAAAAACGCATTATTCAGTTTCTTTTTCTGAAATTTCCTGACTAAAAGTAGGGGAGAAAAAATTATATGGAGGCATATATTATGTGAGAAAATGTGGTATGTTTTGGGACATTAAATTACCAAACCTCTTATCAATATAAGAATTGTAGAGGAAGTTATTTAACTATCCTATCTGCACATATATAAACTGGATTACTAGAAAACAAACATTTAAGTTCTCTAGAATCTGGACAGTCATACAATCTAACTACTAAAAATGTCACTTATGCACTTAATACAGATGATGAATAAACACAACAAATACATTTTCAAGTGACGTGTTACTGTCACAGAGAATAAAACTTGTATGGCATTTTCAGCTTGTGAGATTAGAATATACTTCTAATTGTGTTTTTGATCAGAGACATTGAATTCTTCGGCACAGTTATGTCCTTTGAAGACATACATTATAAATCTTTACAAAATTCTGCTATGCAGAATGGCTTTAACTTTTAACTGTCTATTTGCTATTGACCTGTAATTAAAACAATACACATTTTATTCTTCACAGATTTAACAGTAATTCTACTTTCAATTGGCAAATATGATCCACTCACTACTTGTCTTGGCCTTTTCAGAAACTGAGTTTTCTTCATACCATTCATGTATGCATACTTTCAGGTTAGGCCAATGTGTATCAGGCTGAAATAAGTACTATATACAGAAACACAGCAAGATGGCATCTCCATCAACTGCAAAACTGAATAAAATAATACAAAATAAGACCAGTATTCCCTGTTGTGGATATGTTTTCAAAACACAGTTGAGTGATAAATTGTCTGAAACATGAGCTTATGCATAGTCTACATGCAAAAATAAAAGTGGAACTGATCCCTAGATGCATGGTTACAATAATGCATTAACCCTATACAATACACACACACCAATACTTGCGTTAACTATCTGAGCACCAGTAACAGTTAACAAGACACATAAATTGTTTACTCATCATTCTGAATGCAATATACAGTTCTATAAATGGCTGAAGAGTATACATAGAAATTCAGCAACAGCAGTAAAAGATTAGTACTATCTTCTGGAATGTGATGCTGTGTAGAAAGGTAGAAGTTCACGAACATTTCAGAGGATAGTACTGACTCCATCTTCAGAGTCAATTAGTATGAAAAGCAGGCAATCATCAAGACATAGACACCAAACATGCATAGAAAACTTGGTTCAGACAGAGGCCTGTAAAGGAGCCCAGAGAGAACCAATGGGAGCAAGGAGAAGAGTTACATCCTTGAAGATAGTACTCTCCACAGTCATTGCTGCATGAGCCTCAAATCTAACAACTGTTTCCTACTGCTGCCTACCACTAAATTTGCAGTTTGCCTTTCAAATGTACTGCTACTACTATCATCATAAATAATGGAGTTCAGAAGACCTTGAAAACATGTGTAACATTTTGTATAAAAAAAATGGAAACCACAAGAAAATGGTGATACTGCATGAATACAGTCTCTGCAGTTATATACACCACAGTCACTAAAGGAAAAGGAGCTTTGTATTTACTGAAACCCTATATGCATGTTCATGATCATGTTTGGAAAAACAATGGCAAGGGATGCAGCAACATGAATATGTATGAATAATACAATACAAATGCAATAAACTGAGACACAACATTCAATCACGTTAATAATATAAGTTGTAAATTTCTAGCTGTTTAATGTCAACTTTATATGCATTTATGAGCCTTAAATAAGAACTAAGTTATACAAAGTACTCTCTACTTGTAATTACTTCATAAGAGAGGAAAACGCTTCACTGACTATGGTACAATACTGTTTTATGTACATTCACATTTATGAATCAAATGGTTATAATGGCATGAAACACATTTTTTACCTTCACAATAAAAATGTTGTTCTCTGGTGAAACGAAAATACCTGCAAGGTTACCTGATCTACAAAAGGGAAGACTGGAACTGGGGCAGGAGGAGTTGGGATACAATAACCAAAATGAAATTTAAAAATGAGAAAACTTTTTTACACAACAGATTACTCTGCAGATAAATTATTTGTGATATATGCATGCCATATAATACTTCTCACACTTTTATATGTTAGTGATATATAGCAAGAATCCTCAAATTTGCTGCTCCAACAAAATAAAAATACATTTAGAAAGTCACAGCAATAAGTATAATAATGCTAAATCATTCAGACATGGAAGCCACAAAAATACTGAAAAATAACAAATATTGTGGCATGTAGACCCGTTGCTAGGCAATGACTGCAAAATAAGCGACTATACAACAGCCGTTGCTAGGTAATGGCTCCACAAACAAGCATACTTCCATGGCAACAATTGCACTGTAACAGAGGAATGGTGTTTTCTAAGCACTCCGTGCCAACATGCCATAAGCAGTAAACTTCAGATCACATAAAAGACAGGGAATGTCTTAGTTAGCTGAGTGACTATCAGATTCCCAAGAAGAACTCTACTACATTGGGTTAGTTATTAAATCTTCTATACAGTTAAGTCTTCTTGGACATCAGCCTTGTCAGTATAGAATGTATGTCCAATTTTCAGATTATTTCTGGACCAAAAATGTATGTCAGCAGGTTGCACATGTCTGCCAGGGTGGTGATGTTGACTGTGAGACATTCTCTTCAGTGTGATGATGTAACAGATGAGGCAATTTATTTTTTTCTGTGAGAGGAATGTTGAAGGTTTAAACAGTGAAATGAGATTAACATGGAAGACATCTGAATTAGTCTAGTAGAATTCCAAATTAAAAATTAAAGGGGTACCTCCTGAAGAAGGGGGAACACTGTGTGTTCTCATTCTGCTTAGTGACACCTGACAGGATAACAATTTTCTCATACCTCTGGATCTGTAAACATATTACAGTTATTATAATTAACCCACAAGGAAATATTTTAATCTCTAGACCATTCCAAATGGTTTGACTCAGATGCCACACACCAAATGAAGAGAATTATTATAGAATGGATCTATCCATACAGGATTCTGGTGTAAATATATTGTAACATGTCGGCAATCCAGAAGAGTCACTTCTGTGGAAACGCCAGAATAGACCGATGCATAATAAACAACAATCGCTCTATTGTAGTTCCAACACCGAATCTCCACGGTTACGACGAATACGCGAAGCGTTCCCACAGAGACAACGCGATAACAATGGGTTATTGCGTAGGAAACGCGGAGCCACCAAAGCAACGTTTCCACGGCTATAACAGAGGGTTCGTCGCATAGCAGCGACCAAGGTTATATAGCGGGGTTGAATGCATTCGGACAGTCAGTCGTTATCAAGCCTTCGGAGAAGAAAGTCCTTATCTAGCCGTATAAGAAGCCAGTCCTGGAATAGCCATCTTAGAAGAAAGTCTTCATCGTGCCACCTAAGAAGTCAGTCGCTCTCTCCAGCCTTCGAAGAAGCGAGTCTTGGAACAACCGCCAGGGAAGACAGTCGAGTATCGGCCGAGACATTGTGGAGGCTAATAATTGTAAAGTGTGTGATTGTGCAAGTGAAGAACAATAAAGGTTCTACGGAATTCGAGGCCTACGTGGATTTATTTGTAGCGTGACACACAAAACACGCTACAATATTTATCATGTGCTAATGAATCTTGCTAAAATTTCATAACATGTTCCTTTCAGGTGTTATGCTGGCAACTACTATTGCACTTCATATGCCAACATGACTTTATATGAGGTATGAGGTACTTTCCTTTCACTTTCTCTAGAATGATTTAAGCACAAGTTCATCTGCTTACCTGGATACTACTGGATTATGCAAATGGGACACTGATCAATGGGCAGCAAGGAAAATATATTTATATTACAAAAACATTAATAACAGCCTCTGTATAACAAATGTTGAGAAAAAAAATAAAATGATTCACCTGTTCAATATCCAATAAAACATGGTCACACTCTTTACTAATGTCAACAGAGAGACGTGTCAGTTTAAAAATATGATGCAAATTCACTTAATTTCTGGACAAGGACATACACACCCATATTCTTTAACACCAAGATAATAAATAAACTGCAATGCAATATTGCTTCTAATAAAGGATCTGTTTAATTATCCTTTTTGACACTATATCATGTTTATTTTCTTCATGAATATGGGTTATTAATATTAAATCTTTGCAGGGCTCTGAATTACAAATGAACCACAAAGGATTAAATGATTTATAAAAACAAATCTTTATAAAATGTTTGAAAAGAAAAAGGTGCATATAACAGAAGTTTAATAATTTCTCTCAGTAAATAAATACAGTCTCATTATATACCTGGATTACAGAGGGGAGATGTGACCTCTGAATTACAGCACTAATACAACAGGGACAGAGCATCTGGCTCACTTTGTAGCTAGTAAAAAGGCAGTTATCCCTGTGCTTAACTAATTAAGCACTATGCCATGAAGGCATATGGGGGAGTGGATGTATAGATCCACATTTTCTTGACCTTGGTACTAGCTGGAGGTGAGTGGTCAGCTTCACGTCCCTGTTGCTTTACCCCTGGGGAAAGAGCCCCCTGGTACCCATTGGATAGGAGGTTTGGTGAACCCCAGAACCAGGCTGGATAATGTGGAGAAGAGAAAATTCTTGACCCTACCGGGACTAGAACTCTGACCTCTCGGTTGTCCAGCCTGTAGCCAGTTGCTATCCCGACTTTCTATCCTGGCTCCTCCTTAGTAGCTAGTACTATAACCATTTTTACTCATATCTTTGGATACTCAATGTGATTTCAGCCTCTACAATGCAAAATGGCAGAAACTTCTGAACTGACCAGTACTTTCAATACTGTCACATAATACATAACATTCACATAAACCCTAACATGTATACCATTTTCACCATTTTAACTGCCATTTCAGTTGCCTACCAGCGGCTCATCTTCTTCATCATCACTAACATACTTCCTCGTACATCTTTTGCGACGGCCACCACCCCGAGATTCTACCTTGCGGCCTTTCAGTTTGATTTTCATCTTCACAGAGGAATCTGCATCAGAAGGAATTTCTTCTTCTGCACCATCACCTAAAAAAAGGCCATCACCAAATTATGAACATGGTCAACTCCTGATTACTGGGTCTGAATGCTATCCATGAGTCCATGAATGAATTTTTCATTTGTGCTATATAATTATATAAATCACACATTTTTACAAAGACAGACATATGTGAACTGGTTTGCTGTCCTTTTCTTGTCTTTATCAATACAGAACGGGGGGGGGGAGATGGTCTCATGGTAGTAATGGAAATGGGGTAAGAGGATGTCACAGGTAGAACTGTTCCAAACATGTTTGCAGTGACATGTGAGCATGTTAAGAGACATCAAAGGGTAGGATGAAACATGAATGATCAATTTGAAGGGATTTGAAAGGAAGCCATCATGGAATAATTGCAGTACTATCCTGGCAGATGTCTGTAGGTACTGAAGAAAACTAGGAAGAACCTGTGTTAGGATAGTTAGTGCCCTCCAAGATTTTAACTGAGTACCTCTCAAATACAAGTATAGACGGTTACACCTGGATCAACCCATTTGGTATTGTCCATACTGGATTTCATGAAACTCAGGCTATCAGTGTCTAACAAGACCTCTTAAAGGGATCCAAGTCCCAGTCAGCAGAACTAATGAAAGAGGTTACAGCATTAGCATTTAAACAGACCACATAAAAACTCTGCAGGATCACTTCCAGGAGTGGTACAGCTGATGGCTAAAATGTGTGACAGCAAAAGGGAACAATTTCAAAGGCAGTGTGCATTAAAACATGTCATGATGATACGTACGTTAACACAAACAAAAGTTTACAATTTCTTTTTATTCAATTCATATGTATGCATATATAGGCAATACTTACCTCGTGACTTATCATCATCATCTGACTCTCCTTCTTGCTCAAGACGTTGCCTAGCATTGGTGAAAACTGACTGGAGAACAATAGAATCCTCGTGTATTAGAGATGCTTCTTCGTTGTATGTTTGTGCATTCTTACATAGTTGCATGAAGTCACGCTCCAGATCATCAAAATCATTGAACTGAAAATATATGAAGAGCTGAGGAAATGAAAGTGTGGGAAACTGAAGCAGCAAGCCAAACTTGGTAAAGTAAAGACATATGTTTTGATATAAAAAAATGTACTAAGTGGATAAACTATCAGTTCTATGGATTTTGTTACATACAATAAATATTTTTAAACAAGAAATGCTTTCTGAGGCTTTTGGAGAGCATTCTTTAAGCCAGACAGTGGTTTTGAATGGCATTCACCTTTAAAGATGACTTGAGTGTCATTTGAAGATGATGAACATTCAGGGTCACCAAGCACCAGCAAAATGATAGAAAATGTTGAAAAAATTTGAGAACTCATCCAAGGAGGCCGTGGCCAAACAATCCATGAGCTCACAGATACTGTTGGGATCAGTTATGGAGTTTGACAGGAGATCTTAACAGAAAATTTGAACATGCACCACACTGCTGTGAAGTTTGTTCCCCAACTCTTGAAATAATGATCAAAAGCAGAGGCATGTAAACATGTGTCTTGAGCTACAAAACAAGGCTAATGAGAACCCAACTTTTATCTCCAGGATCATAACGGGTGACAGAAGTTGGATTTATGGTTATGATCCAAAAACAAAGTAACAATCATCGCAGTGGAAGAGTCCACAATCACCAAGAGCAAAAAAGGCGTGGCAGGTCCAGAGTTTAACAAAGAGCTTGCTCATTGTTTTGATTGTTCACTGTGAATTTGTTCCTCCTAACATTACAATCAATTCTGACTTTTGAAGAATGCCATCTTCTGGGATGTGGCGCCATGTAGATCTTGTGTGAACCGAGTTTTTGGAGGAATGTATCGCCTCCATCTTCAGGGTTAAGAATATTGGTTCACACAGATCTACATGCTGCCACATTCCCGAAGACGGCATTCTTCATAGTCGCCACTGTGAAAACCTCAAATCCTACAACTCTGACTTTTACTCTGATGTTTTGAGACACTTGAGAGAAAATGGGCCACAAAAAAGACCAGAACTTTGGCACAACCACAACTGGCTCCTTCATCACGACAATGCGTCCAACCCACACACTGAAAACCATAGTTTGTGACTAACAACTACATGGTTATTATTCCTCATCCTCCCTACTTGCCAGACTTAACCACTTGTGATTTAGCTTAGTTTCCCAAATTGAGAATGAACCTAAAGGGATGGTGTTTTGAAACAGTGTCTGATATCCAAAGGGAATTGCAAGTGGTACTTGATAGCATTAAGGAAAATGACTTCCACTGTGCTTTTGAGGCATGGCAAAAATTATGGGATCGCTGTACACATTCCCAAGGAAATTATTTTGAAGGAGATGGCAACCAAAATTAAGCAAGTTAAGCCAGTATTTATTTTTTTGACCGCACCTGGAGACTTTCTGATATATCTGTATGGGTGGACAATGCTTTAAGCCGTTCATCTTCAATCAGTTTCACTCTATGTAATTGTATTCATTTTAATGATAATGCTGGATTTACTCCTCTCGAGGAGTTTCCAGTTAACTTATTCAAGTTCTGATTCACTAAAGGGTACTTAATATTTTTCTTTGGAAATGGTTTATGAATGGGGACACATGGTAGTGTAGTTGGTTGAGGCACTACGCTACAAGCCAGAAGGTCGCGGGTTCAAGTCCTGATGTGGTATTTGGATTTTTTTCAATTGACTATGGCCCTGGGGTTGACTCAGCCTCTAACAGAAATGAGTACCACGAATCTTCCTGGGGCATAAAGGGTGGCCAGCACGTAAGGCTGACAGCCTTGCTGCCATCTATGAGCTGATTGTCTAGAAAATGTGAGAACCTCAACATCTCACAACCTTATGGGTCTCTGTGGCCTGTTACAGGGATATCTTAAAAAAAGTTTATGATTAAAACCATCAGAGTTGCTGATATGAAACACTCCTTTTCCTAGCTTCCATACCTTGCCATCATCAATTCGCTGCAGGATCTTCTTGATGTCGAGAGGTTTCTTGATAATTTCATAGTAGTCTGGCAATTCACGACGAGAAGGAAGTTTCATGAATGGCTCACTTAGCACTCGCCCATCACTATGCACAAAAGATTATATGATATTTTCTCCAGGGTCAGACAGATACGGTGTATCATGTTTGCTTCACTATAAGACCTGGTTTTTAAAATTTATTTTCATAACAAATGAGAGTGGTTTTATATTAAAAATAAGTAAGAATGCATATAAAAATGTAATTGTATGATTTCTGTGTAAGCCTGGCAGCTGTGGCACTTACATATTCATTGAATTGTCATGATAATATTTCAAAAGCAGTAATTATCAGGTTCTGGTTACTGTTACCACTATATTCACATTAAATGAATCCACAGCTTTATCTTCTGCGACACAATTCTGTGTATTCCACTGGAAGTCAACTGATGTTTCTGTGGAACATGTTGCCTCCATCTTCAGGGTTGAAGAGTAAACCAAGCAAGGAACCAGCATGAAGAAGGCAGCATGCAGGAACATGGGTTTATACAGAAACAAAAGGGGACATTGGAAGCAAACCCATCAGTTCCCACTGGCTCCTGAGAGACCCAAGGTGAACCAACAGGATACAGAAGAAGAGTGGCTAGGTTTGCCATTGAAAAGGGCCCTTTTAGCAGATGGGAGCATGGGGGAGAGAAGTGGGCAGGGAAGCAGGTATCAGAACAGTGTCACCTACTCTACATATTACTTGGGGAACTTGCTTGAGTTGCAAGTGTGATGCAGTAGTTAGTATATGATACTGAACATGTATAACTGTTATTTGTTTTAAGCAACTGTGCTTACAAAACATAAAGTTCAGTAAGCTATAGAGATGATCACAGGAGGCAATGTGAAATCAAGCAAGACCATTACTAAAGAGATTTCTTCATTCCCATGAACTGTTAATATTGACAATTTTAAATGAACAGTTACAGGTAAATTGAAAAGTCTAATAATTATGTGAGGAGTAAAAATACTGTTCCCATGACCAATGCACAGCAACTGAATAAAGACAAAGAACAACTGCCAGGTGTCACCAGGAAAGCACTCTCTTGATCTAAACTGGTGGAGGGGACGATAGTTGTCTTTTCAGTAGAAATGAACCAAAGACTTTTGTCTGGAAATCCACAAAAAGCAGAGCTCTGCTTGCGTCTTGCTTTCCTCATCTCTAACTCTGAGAATGGAGGCAATAAGTTCCTCCAAAACATCAGTTGCCTTTCAATGGACTACACAAATTAATGTCCTAGAAGATATAAATCTTCATAACCACCGCTGTGAGAACCTCAAATCCTACATAGTAATAAACTTTTGGGATTTATAAAAGACGGGGAGTCTGAACAAGAATATATTAGCTTCTAGAGAGGACTCTGCTCCATGCAGTTAGGAAGTTTAATTGTGCTGAATGCTGCAGTTGGTGCAAACATCTTCCAACGTCATGCTAAACACTTTGATGCTTAGCTATCCTTTTGTTTTTTATGGATTTCTTTATGCACAGTGGACAATGGGGAATGACAGATGGCCACACCAACTCCCAGTTGCTTTCTGCAAACCATGATTTTTTTTTTAATTTCAATTTACTAAACTTTAGTGAATACGACAGCATTCAGCAAGAGCACTGGTTCAGGGACAGCATTCAGCAAGAGCACTGGTTCAGCACAAGAGTGGAAGAACTGCACAGATATGCAGAATAGCATTTATAGAGTCTTTCATTACCAAAAATATGATTTTAACAAATTTCTCTGAAAGTACACAACATTCAAAAATGTACCCACTGCTATGACATTACATTGTTTTGTCCCTTTGACACAAATGCAATATATGTGATCAATATTATAATGGGGGAAGATATTATCCAGTTGCGCCAAACAAGCCTTGAAGGGATACTAAAAAAATTATAACTTTAGGATTTATAAGTTTTCATTTTAATTTCACTATAGATCCATTTGTGAAGTAAAGATATCTTCTGTATAGTCATATCACAGATGAAGTGCTCTGTATCAGCTAATTTGGTAGCTACCTGTCTGTGTATTTGATGACAATGTTCATCAACTTCCTCATCTGACGTTTGAGTCTTGGGTCTACTGATGTGGTTATGGTAGCTGCAGTTGCTGTGGTAGTTCTGCGTTTCTTCACTTGTGTTGACTCTTCTTCTTCATCTTCTTCTCCCTTTTTCCGCCGTTTTCGTGTTTTCTTGCGTAGTTTCTTCTCTTCTTCTTCCTCCTCTTCCTCAAAGTCCTCCCCAGCTTCATCTATTGCCTGCAACCCATTATCAAAGCAATTACTTACTGAAAACATTCCAAATGCAATTGAAACTGTTCACTAATCACTGGATGGTAAAGTTTACAACTCCTAACATGCAAAATAAGTAAATATACACAAGTTTACAAACTACACACTTTGTTCTTAGTCACTTTTTTAATAAATGTGACATATTTTGGGAATAGAGAATGTTTAAAACAAACAGGGCTTCAAAAATATAGTCACCTGCTCACTTGAGGTAAACTGATTCTTTGAGATGGAGAGCAGAAATTCATAATAATTATATACAATGAACTATATAGCAATATCATAACAAATAATTCAGTAAATACTTCTAACACTAGCTAACATGTCAGGAACCATGACAATGGGAATGTGTACTTTCATGACTGGAGCTCATACTGTAGGCAATGATTATGTTACACGAACTACAGTTCCATTATAATTATATTTAAAAAATTAATTCTGACCAAACCTTAAGCCATTCCTTTTCCGTAAGGCTGTCACTATAGTCCACTTCTTTCCTCTGTCTTGATCCCCGTCCCAAGTAGTTTTCTTCTTCCTCTTCAAATGTCCATCGCTCAACCTAATGAACACAAATCTCCTAATATACAAAAAAAATTGATGCTGGAACTCTCAGCTGTTTATCAATCTGACATAAACTTCAACAATTATTATTTTAATAACTGCTGATGCAACTTCAATGATGACTATGTTTTCATTGGAAACTATTACATCAACATCAAAGGTCAGCATCAGGTGGTATATTAACTGTAAACTTGGGCTGGGCCATAGCTCAAGTGGTTAGTCACTGGCTTCCCATCATGGTGGCCTGGGTTCGATCCCGGGTTTGGTGAAGTGGGATTTGTGGTGGACAAAGTGGCACTGGGGCAGATTTTCTCTTGAGTACTTCGGTTTCCCCTGCCACTCTTCATTCCACCAATTGCTCCACAATCATCCTAACCTATCATCTGGGGCTGGTACAATAGGCCAGAAGTGGCCACAGTAAAAGGGACTTAGTCCCACGCCACTAACAATAAAAAAACTATAAACTTTATTAGTGAATTGTCATAGTACAGTTCTTAGCTACCTTTCTGAAATATCCACTTTTCAACCTGTTTACACTGTATTATATATACAGAAGTTCTTATGATGTGTGTAAATGTTTACAACATCCATTATGAGAACTTTAGAAGACTGTCTTTACTCACCAACCATTAACACCACACTCAATCAACATAGGCCAGTGACAACAAACTTGCACCAAAAATCTACACATAACAAGGTGCAGCAATCATTCTAACTACAAAGGAAACTTTCAGTCACACCATCAAGAACACAACCCCCAAGAAATAAGAGACACCAGCAACAAACACTACACTGGATACTCACATATGACAAAAGCACTATAGTGTTGAACTCAAAAGAGGAAAACTTGAATTACTATCAACTTCAATTTTAAACAAATTTTAATTGGTGCTTCCCTTGACAGAACAACTTACAACATGTGACATACTGGAGGATGACCATATAATGGTCATATAATGACCATATACTTGTTGTATTAACAATGAAACAGGACAACAAAATTTGACAGTATGGCAATAACCACACTGCCATTGAAACATTTATGAAAGTTGCACTAGTAAGACTGGGGGAGAAGAAAAAAGAAGAAGAAGAAGAAAGGATAAGAAATTAAACAGTACAATAGGATATTTAAATGCTACATATACTAACTAAAGAGACAAGGCAAGTATAACTGAACAAACATGCATGTTGGATACTGAAATCATCAGTGCAAAATGAAGAACACCCTATGTGATACTGAAGTGACAGCAGACATTGCAGGGGTTATGTAGAACCATGAGGAAGATTTTGAAATCAAATTAGATATCAGAGGATAGAAAGAACAGGTGATAATACAAATACATGAGAAAGAAGACAACAAAATGCCATAATTACAAATGGATAACATTTTAGTTGCTGTTATAAAATTTAGGAAGTGATTTTAATTAATAAAATGCAATCTATTTATAACAGCAAGGCTCAATGAAGAACAACATGCATTTATACATGAAAGATCCACAACAGATTTCACTTTTATAATGAGACAATTATCTGGGAAATATGTGGATTTCAGCTAGGATATTGTAACTGAGTTTACAGATGAAAAGCATATAGTAGCATGAAGAGAGATAAGATTTGGTCAAGCTTAAGTAAAACAAAAGTACCAGAATATCTAACAGATAAACTGAAACTAACATAAATGTAAGTTGTGTAAAACACACACACACACACACAAAAAACATAAAATCAAAATTGTTCAAAACAAGAAGCAGGGTGAAATGAGAAACTGAGAAGTGTCCTCTTACCAGTCATGTTCAATGGCAAGATGGACAAAACTGACAATAAAGTCAGAGGAAAGAACAGAAGGCCAGACATGAAAACAGTAACATCTGAAAATGGAGGTGACCTCGGGGAAAGATGAAAACAAGACTGAAGAGAACTCCAACCAATGGAAACTTATAAGGCAATAGGGACTGGAAACAGATACTGACAAAACAGTGATTGTAAGAATTTCAGTGAACCCAGACAAAAATATTATGACAAATATAATAGACACAATGACTAAACAGGGGTACAATATTATTTATTTAGGGAATGACATAAATTCAGAAGGCAAAATCGATTAAGAGTCCACCAGAAAAGAAATAAAAAGTTTTAAATTCTATCATACTTTAAAAGGAAATTTATGGAACAGATACTAAAACAATGTAAAACAGCACCACATAGTTCTATATTTTAAACAGATTCTACAATATGTAATGCCAAAATATGAACCCTAAGAAAGAGCTGTAAAAGCAGATTCTACAATATGTAATGCCAAAATATGAACCCTAAGAAAGAGCTGTAAAAGCAAAGTCCAAACAATGGATATGAAGTTCTTTAGTGGAATCCAGAATTTGTTTATAGATTTAAAACAGAAATAACTACAATGGTTTTGCCATGCAACATGAATGGACAGAACAAGGATACCTTGAAGGGGATTAGAATTACATTTTAAAGAGAAGAGACTTATGGGACAACACTAAACGAGACAGTTCAGCCAGGTACTAGATGCCAAGAAGGGAGGAAAGAGATGGCAAGAAACTGAATAGGAAATATTATGGCAAGACAGTAGAGGCTGGAGCTTCTTTTGTCTGTCAACCCATATGAAATTTAAATGATGTCAAAGACAAAGAGGTATAATTTGTATGATTCGTTATAAATTGTATTGATATTTTCATTATTACATTTTGTGCATGCAGTAAGTAAACAATGCTCATTATAAAGAATGCTCAAGATGCAATGAAACTACCTACCTCTTCATCATCTTTGACAAGCCAATCAGGCAATTCACCTTCTTCTATCAGTCGTGATTTGCGGTTTTGACCAAGTTTTGCTTCTTCACGGCGACGTTCTAGATCCATGCGTGAAAACAGTTCCAACTCACACTCATTACGAGCAATCATACGGTTCACTGTGTCATCTTCAGGCACTTCATTCTCCTCCTGTAACAACGGTAAGCAAATGAAAATTAAATGTCTCTACATTGACGCACGACTAGGATATGGTCTCCGTACAAAGAGTGCTTTCTCAAGTAAAAAAGATTAGGCAACACAATGGAGAAACCAAAGGCAAGCAATAACCTAGATAAATGGACAAACTGGAGAACGAGCTACAGAAATTATTGGAAATAATATTAGAGCTTTTGGCACGTCTCATTTTTTATTCTCTGGTATATTTGTAATTACATTTTTTTTAGTGTTCAGGGATTTGAAATACCATACAAGGCTGAAATGAGAAAACACCTGGGACACAACCATTACTGAGAGGGTAGGGACACTATAAACTTACCATTAAATTAATGTTAGGAAAGAGGAGTGTTCACAAAATCATTTGTTTTATGTATATTTTTAAAATGTATGTGAAAATCCAGAAACCCAAGTTATTAAACACAATTATGTGAAGGTTTCACTGTGTTCATATTTGCCCTGATTTGCTTTCGACAACTGAGGGTTGCCTAAATAAATAAATTTTAATTTTAATGTTTGTCACATTGTGAGGTTCAGGGTTAAAGTGAAGAATAATTTTACTAATTTTAGCACTTTCACTTCACCATCTCTGTGCAACTTTGCATATATGAGGGCTATTCACAAAGTAACCTCCATTTATTTTAGGCAACTAATGTAGCAGCAGGGGAGAGCCCTAGCATGTAGTCACATGACTCATTATCTTGTGAACCATCACATAACTGGTCACTTAGTCTGTGTTCTTTTTTCTACAGAACAAGTTTTGATTTATCCTGTGACTGATAATCCTGCAAGCTGCAAAATTTGAGCTGTTATCTGCTTTCTTCATGTTAAAAACATGAGTGCTGCAGAAATCCATTTCAAATTATGGGTGGTTTATGGCCAAAATGTAACAGGTAAAGGTACTACAAGACAATGGTGTAGAATGTTTGAAGATTGGCGAATATTCATGATGAAGAGTGAAGGGGTCGGCCATCTGTAGTGAGTGATAATATTGTTCAAAGTGAAAGACAGCACTTCACAATTTCTTAAGTTTTGTGTGAAATTCCACAAATTTCACACACTGTTCTCTATGAGATTATCACAGTTAGGCTAGACTATCAAAAGTTTTGCACAAGATGGGTTCCAAAAAATGCTTGTGGGTGCACACAAATTGTAGAGAATGGATTTCAGCTTTGACTTTTTTACATCGATACCACAAAGATGGCAATGATTTGTTAAGTGCGTAGATCTGTGAAACTGTTATGCTTACCTGGAGTTATGAGTTACAATTGCATTACATTACATAGGTCATACCGAAAGTCATGAGCAATTTCTTTTGCATGCAACCTGGTAACAGCAGACAAATGAGAGTATGGTGGCAGGTGAAACCAGCTGTTGTGTTAACCTTGAGTGTCTTGTGACGTCAACGGCTTGCATCACGTGACCAGTATCACTCCTAACAAAATGGCCAACAACGATATGTTCTTTTGCCAGCGTGCTGTCATCGAGTTTTTTGTGAAAGAGGAAATCCCTGCTGCAGAAATTCACCAGAGACTTCAGCGTGCTTATGGAAGTGTGTACATGGGTGCGAGCATTGTTTGAAGATGGGTGAAACATTTTAAAGATGGGAACAGCAGCATCGAAGATGAGCCTCGAAGCGGTTGTCCTCGAACAGCCTCAACTGAACACAACAAGGAAAGAGTGAATGAGATCACTGAAGATGACAAGCATGTGACTGTGAACATAATAGCCCGAAAACTTGGAACAGGGCACAGTGCAGTAGAGATGATTGAAAGCTTGGGCTATAGGAAAGTTTGTGCTCATTGGGTCCTGCAGTTATTGACCGAAGACCACAAAGGTCACATTGGAAGCAATTGCAAAGATGGGATGGGAAGTTCTTCCACACCCCTCCTATAGCCCTGATCTGGCACCCTCCGACTACCATCTTTTTGGATTTGTGAAGGATCAGCTGCGTGGACAACGTTTTGAGACAAGGGAGGCAATTCAGAAAGCAGTGCGTCAGTGTCTTTGGATGGCTGGAATGGAATTTTACAGAAGGGGAATTTTCAAACACCCAGAACGCTGGGAGAAATGTGTACAAAGAAATGGTGATTATGTGGAAAAATAAAGAAAGGTCTGTAGATTGAGGTGGTGTATTTGGTTTGTCAAGAATAAAGCTTGTTACTTTACAAAAAATTGTAGCTCATGACTTTCAGTTTGACCCTCATACATTACATTACATTATATTACACTGCATTGCATTCCATGGATTCAAAGTTAGTCAAAATGACTGTAGGATGTGGAATATGTCATACAAATACAAAACATATGTACAGACCCAATGGAGTTCTCATACAAGAGAAACCGAGATTACACAGTGACTACACACAAGGCCATTTAAAGATCCACAAGCTATTTTCTAGATAATAGGCATTCATCAACAGAGTAGAATGAATGTGCATTTAAGTATCATTTCAGTGCTATTTTAAATTATGCCTGTTCATTCGTAAGACCTTTGAGATCAGATGGCAGGTTATTAAAAATGTCAATCCCAGCATAATATGTGCTTTTCTGAAAGCATGAGAGGTTAGCAATTGGTTTATGAAGACAGTGTTTGTGTCTTGTGTTAACACTGTGTACATCCGCATTAGTTTGAAGATGTTCATTATTTGTAATGAAGTTTATTAATGAATATATATAATCACAAGGCAAAGTTAAGATCTGTAGTCCCTTAAATAGATCTCTACAGGAATTATGGGATTTGACACCCATCATGACTCTAACAATTTTCTTTTGCAATGTAAATACCTTTTTACTGTCAGATGAATTATCCCAGAAAATTATTCCATACTTCATTAAAGAGTGAAAACAAGCAAAATAGACTGATTTGAGAGTGTCAATATTACTAATATGTAACATGACTCTAATTGCATAACATGCTCTACTTAACTTTGGAATCAATTGATCAATATGGTTTTTCCAGTTTAAATTATTATCAATTTGCAAGCAATTCAAACCACATGGCTAGTCACTAACATGTGACAATACATTTACTTAACAGTTCGTGTAACACCAATGATGCACTGGAGGCAGGAACAGAAAATTGCAAATTCTGTATAAAACATTATTTACATGCCAAAAATTAGACCACATGGGATGGTACAAAATTCTAAGAGTATAATGGACACATTTAACATAGCGGGAATCTGTACAGTGAAAATTATGCACAAGAATGGGCTAATAAATTATACGTGTATTAATTTATAGTTCTCGTTAACATCAACATTAAGCTTTGGGCCTTTCAATACATTCCATTCTTCTATAAGATAGGTTGATCCTACCAGTGTAACTCTGGACATTCAGTGGATCTCGGTCTTCTAGGTATATACTCTCTTAAATGTTTTGGAATGTGTTCAGGTTACATTCTTTCAAAATGGTGAATCTAATTCTTTCCAAAATATCTTATTACATTATAAATGCAAGACAACTCCGCAACTGTATATATATAACACTGAGGGTTACCTCCTCTTCAGCATCATCTTGATGCAAGATGCTCTGCAGAAATTGCTGTCTTTCTGAGCCTGTGGATTTCTGATCAAACATGCCAGCTTGGATAACCTTCTCATCCATGTTAAGTTTATAGCGGGCTGCAGCCAGGATCCTCTCTTCTACAGAGTTGACAGTCATCAGTCGTAGTACACGAACCTCATTCTGTTGTCCTATACGATGGGCTCGATCCTGTGCTTGTAGGTCCTGCAACATAGAAACATGACATTAATACAATGACTTAAGAACTATTCACAATACCAACTGATACAGTGGTTCTCAACATTTTCTGGTTCATGAACTGATAAAATTGCAGTGGGAGTTCCAAGGACCTGTAAATTTTCTGTCTCACACTGCATGTTACTATGCAGATCCAATTATTATTAGCACACCTTAACATACATGCTAAAGCATACAAATTAAGGATTTTATGGAGTATTAAAATTGAAGAGATGACATAAATTATTCATATTAAACAACTGTGATCACAAATTATGCAGGATAGTGTAAGAAATAAACTGTTACACAGGCATGTAACACAGTTCAGCCTCCCATTTGGCATTGCAGCCAATTCCAAACCCAACCTTGTCTTTTCTTCCTCACCACTTGTTTGGTCATACTATTAAATGTTGCAAACACAAGAGAAGAGATACAGTAACATGTTAAACACAAACTACTCGCTAAACAGAAATGAACATCTAAAAAGTCACTAGCTGAAAATATTATTCCCAGTTGTAGCAACACATATGTAATATAACACTAACCTTAATAACACATTTAGAAACAATGTATTAATCCACTTCAGCTGGAGTAATAAGAAACTGAGAGATAATGCAGTAAGATAACCTTTCAACTTTGATGTACTACAGTGAAACCAAACTATTCTATTAGGCCTGTTCCATCTAACGCAACTCAAATAATGTATACCATTCAATTTGTTTTATTAATGTCACAACATGTTTCAATCATTTTTTGGTCATCGTGAGGTGAATTAAACTGTTTAACAAATGCTCTTTTGAACTGCAAACCATCTTAGAATACAGTATACAATTATATGAATTGAATAATTCTGGAATGAATCTTTGCTAGGTCGTATCTGGCTCAAACAAGGATATTACATATTTATTAAATTGTAAAATATTAAAATAAGGTATATATAGACATATGAATTGAATAACTTTGGAGTGAATTTATGCTAGGTTGTATCTGGCTCAAACAAGGATGCAATTCTATATTCACAGTTGTTAGGTGTTGAGTTGCGAATATGGCAACGTATGATGTTTGAAAATGGGCTGATGGGTGTTTATTTTAGCCTGACTAGACTGTGGTTTTCACTCTTACATTGCTACACATAAGAGTAAAAACCACAGCCACACTGATTGGTTCTGACTGAGCATGTCACACCTGTCACTGCCCATCCAGGGCATCCTGGCAAGATATGTGATGGCTGGTGTGCAGGGATTTGTTTAATCACACCTTATCATTAAAATACTGAATTATCTTACACATAAATTCCTTTCTTTCAGTGAGCTCTGTTTTTCTTACTCTGGTTACTAATAACTAAAACCAGGTTTTCAGGCAAAAGTAATCTATGCTGCCCACCCTTTTGTTATTTGGCAATGATTTAATTCATCAAGCAATCACTATGTGGCGTCACAGCAGTAAAGAACTGCGCAAGAGAAATCATGTACGTATTCAAATAAGTCTCATCATAAACTAGCAATTATTTTACTTCATACAGTTTACTTAAAAAGGCCCAGGCAAAGAATCTTTACTTTTGATTATATACTTACTCCTTGGTTGTATGGTCCTCTACGAACCTTGAGCTCCTTTACAAATTGATGCCTATTCTTCTTTATTATTTACCTTTTGCCCAAACTTAATTTTCAGCACTTGCAAACCATTTTCTACATACTCCAGCCATCTCAATATGTGCAGCAGCTTAGGCTACTTACTTCATATTCAGTACTTCATTATGAATTTCAAATTCACAATTTTCTGGAATATGTGATGATGGATTCTAGAATAAGATACGACTGGAAAGGAATCAGATGTTTTCTTGCCTTATGGGATTAAGGGAAACATAAAGAACACAAGATAAAATGGCTGACAATGATGTTGCTAAAACACACACTGCATCCCAAAACTGTTACATGCCTGGTGAGGATTCCAGTCTGAATCAAATATGATAACAGTGTCAGCTGCCTGCAGGTTCAAACCAAGTCCTCCAGCCCGTGTACTCAAAAGAAATAAGAAGTATTCTGAATCAGGGCTGTTGAACTTGCGGAGAAGATCACCACGATCCTCAGCTTTAGTTGTGCCATCCAACCTCAGATAGGAAAATCCACGCCAACCTAAGTAATCCTCCATGATGGTCATAAGCTGTGTCATCTGACAGAAGAGCAGCACTCTGTGGTTGGTTGCCTTCAGTTTTGGTAGTATCCGATCCAAAAGCTCAAATTTTCCAGATGCTCGATACAGATCAGGCCTGAACAGACAATAACATGTTACAAATGTATTTTTGATATTATGTTATAATGGAGATGCCATGGTCTCAAAATATTTTTCCCACCACTGAAGAAACTTAAGAGTTAAAGCTTATTCTTCTTATTCTACAGCAAGAATTAAATAAAGACTGCTGTTAGCCCCAATCTTGAGGACCACTCCCATCGAGTACCCGAAGTGCTTATCCAGTATATCTGCAGCTATCCTCCTATCTGGAGGCCATCTATGTCTGCAAACTGAGGATGGACCGTGCTGTGGCAACAAAGGAGAGATTTCTTAGCATCATTTCTTAAGAAATAAATACTGTCAACTAACAATATTTTGAATCAGATGAAGAATTACCATTAGCTGAACAAAACTGGCATATGATAATCCTCAATATATATAAGGCGGCTTAAATGTGGGAAAGGGAAGTCTCAAATCTGAGGCAGTAAAATATGGTCGCAAGTACTATTATTATTATTATTATTATTATTAGAGGGGGTGGGTTTTCCCGTGCACTTAGACCAGTTATTGGTCCATTGTGCGTCCCCCTTTAATTTCTACTGTCGCCATACCCTACTGGTACTGGTGCGTCCTATCAGCCCCGTTCAGCCAATGAGGTCACTGATATTTTCCCCATCTACCAGAGGCATTAGAAACTACTTGGGTCGGAAATTGTTGCCTAATTTTGCTCAGAGGTCTCCTAGAGACATGAGGATCTTTTACGTGCTGTAAATTTCGCAAGTACTAAGGGACTCGGACCCGAGAAAGACTGCGCTGGCAAGGGCCAACAGCATATACAAAAGATAGATCCGTCTTCTCGTCAGAGAGGGCGACCCACAGAAACAAGACTGTAACTGTCAAACAGTAATAAATATCTGGTCACGAGCGCCAGATGTGGCTTGACACCAAGACTTACTGACTGACTGACTGACTGACCGTCAGTCACAATGTGACTTGGAAATAAAAGGAGAGAATTGCACAAAATAATTTTAGTCAACAAACAATTGCAGTCAGCAAGACTGTGATCTTCTGGGGTGTGACATTGTGTAGTTAAGTACATGGGTACCCATCTATCAAACACTGTGGTGTCACATCCCATAAGACTCTTAATTTTGAAACAATTAGAATTTTGTACATTTACTGCAGTTGCATAGTTCCTAGCTTGTTTTGCAATACTTACCATCATGCTTATTTTAAAACTGAAACGTTAACTTCTTCAAGCAGACTCCATGAGCTGTACCACCCATTTATTTACAAATTATCTAAACACACGCTCTTATGCCCGCCCCGTTATACTATATTAAAATGTGATAAAATACATACAGTTACTGACACTAAGATTATTGACTCAATGAATATTAAATGCAGGAAATCATTAAACAGAGGAACATTAAATGGTGTAGTAGCAATAGTATCAATGGGGTAGAAGTATCACCCCTAGCAAGGCATTTTGTTTAACTGATTGATTGATTGATTTATTTAACATCCATAACTGTTACATTATGTACAATTGGACAAGTCGGTTTTATAAAAAAATATATGAGATTAAACAT